CTACATCCTATGTACTTCCGCCATGCAAAGCTTCAAATCTTACTTAATATCCCAGAAATAAAGCTTGTGCATAAATTGAAACATTCCGCCAGTAGATTTAAAGAGCGCCCTCTCTAGGATCAAGCATTCAAGTTTTCATCGAAGGTTTGAAAAACGTAAAAAATAGTGTCAAGGACTACATACCACGCAAATCAAAGTAAAGGTTCTCATCACATTATATTCTCTGTGTATTACTGAAAAGTGTCACAGAGAATTTGTTCAGTATAAGAATTTCTGTGGCCGGCCATCTATGCATAAATTTCAATGGTTGTTGACCAATAGGGCATATTTTTCTTTCATGGCTGTTCATACAAGCGGCAGGGTTTTTTGTCATTTGGCAGCATTTATTTTCTTTATACAGTATACTGAAAATTTTGCACTTAAATGGAAAGTCTATTAAAATCTCCTTGAGTTCTTGTTTTGTTCTGCCATGGCAGCTGCCAGTATTTGGCACTTGGCCAAAAAGTGAGGGCTATGACACATTGCAGCCATACATGTTGCAGGTGTGAACTTTTGTTCATTAGAGACATGCCGAGCGTCCACCTGTTCCGCTTTTAAGGTTACTACCCGTAAATACGTCAAACCAGACAACTGCTGCATGCAGCCATCTGTATCTGGCCCAGGAGGAGTATAATAAAATCTGGGCTCGCAATGCCCTGAATCAGCTTATAGAGTCATTGAATCCACTCGCGGCCATTTTACCGAGCGGAATACAAAGCTTTCCTGGCATTGCCCGCTTTTGTTCTTCCTGACGTCAATAGAAGGGAGCCAACCCACGCTTTTGTATTCGGCTCGGTAAAATGGCCGCTTATTGGCTTCTTTTTCATACAAAGCTTTTGCAAGTCCAGGCTTTTTATATACATCTGTGGGCCCAACTCTCTTGATGGTGTTATGATGCAAAGAATTGTATTGAAACTCCCTCGGCTGTGTGGAAAAATTGTCCTGAATTCCCTAGTTTGTGTGATAAACTGTTTTGAACTCCCTAGGGAGTACTAAATAGCTATACCGAAACTCCTATAGGTTAAGTGAAATAATGTAATGAAATAGGATTCAGGATAGCAATTAATATTTTGGGAATGCTGAGTGTTAACTCATTAAAATACAGGCATGTATTGGTGACTTACTTCATTGTGAATGTAGGAATCACAGCCGTAACACCACACCGACAAATCGGCATAGCTGAGCACCACGAGATGGGATGTTGAAACACTGTGAAATAACATGTGCTCGTTCACATACCGCCCACACAGAACCTAATGAGGATGGCAACATGACGAATACAGAACACTAAATTTCAATTCATGAAATTTCAAACCCTGCTGCAGAATTCATCAATACTTTTAAATGCGAGTGTACTCAAAAAGAGCCTAACTCCTAGCACTTTTAAAAAAATAAATGAAGCGTCCATGTCATGTTGGATAGCAATCATATTTAAACAAGTTGACATTTCTGAGGATTGATGTTAGTATGGTCACTGTCCAAAATGAGCATTTTGGCTACAGCTATGGCTATCTTGAGTATGCCAATAACTGAAACAGAAGCTATAGTCACTCACACAATATCCTCTACAGATGTGACCTAAAATTATCAAACGAGAAATCTGACTTAAAGAGTACACACAGAAACTTTCTGTGCCAAACGGAAATGTTCGACCCAAATGAGAGTCACAGATCTTGAACACTCTATCTCATCATGCATGCTTTTATACACTGGCTACCAAATACGTAAATGTACGTCTGTAACGTGTCTGTATCTGGGTATGCAATGCCAAGCAGAGTTAAGAAAAAGTGTGAAATATGATTCCTGAGCCCAAAAGCTAAAAAGCCAAATCCGTATTACAGAACACATAAAGTTGCCAAAAAAGGTTTCTGAAAAGCATATCTACTAGGCATGAGATTTCTCCTGGTTTAACATGCTCGTACCTGATAGCAATGTAGACACACCCAATTCTCGCTGGTGTCCCCACACTCACCGCAGGAATCTCTTGAATCGATTGGGGAAATAGCTGGGATGGGTAACACATGGCCTTCAAGGTGAGGGCACCAGGGAAGTGGCACTACAGCATACATCTCTTGCTGAAAACGAAATGAGTATCCACTGAGACTGGAGGTGTTTTCTTTTTTTGTAATGACAGTGACCTGTAAATTTTGATACTGAAATGTGACATGAAATGTTGATGTGCCTGCTACATTATGATCTAACAGAAGAAAAAGGAAGTTAAATAAAAAACAAATGAAACATTTGCAACCAAATAGACTCACTCACATACAATTATACAATATTTTCTGGATCTAGCTACAGGGCAAGTTCTCTTTCTGAATGTGAATGGCATCTGTAATCTATTGCTTTGTTATTTCATATCTTTCATGAAAAAATGTCTATACTATTTGTTTTTTGGGGGAGGTTGATCACCTTTGGATGCATGAAGAAACTACCTCATTGCTCACAATTATATTCAAAAGGTTTCTGGTCTTTTTAGTGGAAATAATCCATTTGACCAAATATGATTCCCAAAGAAATTAATACCAGGTGATTGGGCCAATAGGACGGGTGCAATATTTCATTGAAAGCTTCACGAAAAAATGAACTAACTTTTACAAACAGCGGTGGGGGAATTGGAACAAACCTGTGTCCCAAAGACATCTGCAATAGTCAGGCCTTCTCCGGTTGACGAGGTGACAGCACTTTTGTTGGTGGGATCGATTCCACCAGCTGCTCCAAGCTCGTCAACTGTTGAGCCGATCCCTGGAAAGAAATCAGGGATGACAAAAACAGTTGAGCGATACTAATACAAGCTTTTTGGGGTTTGATTTGTTTGGTTTTAAAACAAGGAATCATTCAGCCAGTCGATACTGACAGAGTAAAGGTCATCTGAAAAAGCTGTCTACGGTTAAAACAAAAGCTTCCTCTTCCATTACTACACGAACACTCACATAAATTTACTGATAACTTTCAAGCAGTCTTCTTCAATCTAGTAATGCGTGCATGTGGGGCAGTCGCATGTCAGAAAAACGTTTGAGTAGGTACAGATGGAGTGAGAAGAAAGTCACATGGGCGAATGTTTCAACAACTAAAAATGTAAATCACTCACTCCCCTTAGTGCCAGCCGAACACAGCTTATTATTTTTAATGTGGCCCTCACCACCACCTTTTTGCCTTGGCAAGAATGTGTCGAAAGCACAACTCTTGAAGCAGCACTTATTGTTTATCAACCATTTCACGGTTGTGAACTGTTTTTTACTTCGACGTCATGACTAACAGAATACTATCAGTAGTTTATCACTCCCAATATTGAGCATCTTAACAAACATGACGTCTGCGCTCTTTGGGAGAGGCACCCAGTAAGATACTGGAATGAAACGCATGGCTCATATTTAAGAATCGTTTTCGACTCTCTACCGCAGGAAGAAACTGGTCCAGTGTAACAGTAAGCGACAGATAAAATAAGTTCCAAACACCATCATCACAGTATTTCTTAGAATTCTGATATAGACCGATTTCTTTTTGCATACAATTTTGTACAGGCCTCCAAAGTTTGCAGAAAAGTCAACTTTTGGTTGCTTTTCGATTTCTCCCCATATTTGTTCAAATGTACATTTGTCCCATTAATGTTAAAGAGGCTTGTATTTTCATGTATTATTCAGTAGTATGTGTTTCATTATTTGGTGCTTTTTCTTTTAAGTGTGTGGGGTTTTTATTACTTTGTGTTTACATTTGTACTAACCACCAGCCACAGCAACCAACTGTATAGGAAAACAACTGTGGCGTAACAAGAGCAGGTCATATTTGTATATATACAAGTAATAAAACAAAGCAAGATTCATGGCTTTAATCGTTCGAACGATTTTATGCAATTCTATTTCAACAGGAAAAATGCCCTAATTAGGCATACAATTTTTCAGCAGAGTAGCAAAATGGTATTGTTTATTACAAACCTTCCAAACGCACCTGCGTCTCAGTTATCCTCATTTTCAATTTGTGTTTCACTATTTCAAAAGTATTTTACTGCCTTTTCGGTTTTTATGCTAATACGAATTTCTAAATTCATGGACAAAACTATGCATGGCGTCATAGAAGCAAGCCTCGATGTTACACTGTTTTGTACACACACACACACACAAAACGCTTTTTCAAAGACTTTGCTTTGTTTGCTAAATTTTTTGAGACATGATCTTTATTCAGCGAGTAAATGCTGGGTTCACAATTTAAACAGAGAAACCTATGCACACTAAACTATGTGTTCCTTGAATTACATCATGATGCCCAGGAAAGCATGGGTGACTGTAAATATATGTTAGAGAAGTTTTTAATGCATTTTAGTAATAGGAATTAAAATAATCGAAAAGTTGTGTCCAAAAATATTCACTGTAGCCACACTATAAAGTGCAGAAATTATTAAATGATGCCCATAATTTCCACCCTGAAACAAAACACTTACCCTTCTCACCCGGATTTGGCTCTGTAACAGCTGTGGTTGATGCGGCGTCATTATTGGAAAAACTTTCCCCAGCCCCATCCGCGGTGTAAGAGGTGGAAAGACTCGATACACCGTCCACTCTATGGTTGTCGCTGTCTCCGCCTGCTGATGTGCCCGATTGTGAGCTGCCGAACACCAATGAGAATATATGTTTCTTCAGTGTAGGGGTAGGCAGAGAGGAATGGGAGGAGGGAAGAGGTAGTGAGAACCAGGATTTTCAGTTAGGACCCCTCATTCTTCCGCCAAGTCCTGAAAGGAGCAAGTTTGAACGTGGCGGGCAGTGGCGTATCCAGGATCACGTTTGGCGGGACAAAATGAGGTTTTCCAAGGCAGCATTCAAGGCGATGGGTGGGATAGCAACAGTTATGACTTGCTGGTCTCTTTAATTGCCAATAAAAAAAAAACAAAAAAATAAAATAAAGCATCGGCAACAGGGAAGAGGAGGAAATAAATGAAGGACCAGTATTTTCCAGGAGATCGATTATTTTTTCTAATTACAAGTAAACTTGAAAGAGGCATTTTTTCTTTTTTTTTTCCAGTTATTTCCCCACATAACACCGGGCGTAGAATGCCCAAACCAGAACTGTTGCTGATTAATTACACGAAACCCCGCCGTGCACCAAACCAATCGTCAATCGAATTGACGACTCCACTGACGTTTCAATGGACATTCCTGATGGCCCCCTTTAATGACAGTATACGCATATGTTGCCTGTATAGCAGTGACTGTCAAAATACCACCATTAAAGGGCCACTACAAACATATGAACCAGGATATGAGACGGAGAGGACCTCCCTCCTTTGCTTTGGTCATTGTTTCACTGGAATCTGAGGAAATCTTTTCAGACACTTAGGGGGATGTGTTAGGTAACAATGGTCTAGAGTGTGTATAGCAATTTGACAAGTAGGGGGTACCCCTTGGTCTCATTTCTTGCTGGATATAACTACAAACGACCAGCGATGAAGTTGCCATGGTCACCTAATTCGTGTACAGACAGACTGGGGAGGTGTGTACTCGTAAGTTGGACCACGAATCGGACCGTCAAACATGTTTGTTTTCCTTTTTCGTATCCGATTTCACCGGATCCATCGGAAACGTGTACAGGAAGACTCCGATTCCACTCGATAGCGATATTTACATTAACCAATCAGATTCATCACACAGTCCCGCGATTCAAACAGGGATCCTCAGTGAAAAATATGGCCGTCGTGATAGATGAACCCATCGTCGGACTGGTGAGCGTGTAGGACTGATTATCGAGTGGCTGATCATAAACAGAATTGGGCATGTTGCCGTTGATTGCAACGGCGACAAACACTGCACCGATGATGCTGTGGTCCTGTGAAGTAGTGAAATAAGGCAATTGTGCGGTGGACTTCAAAAGGCTATTTGCACGAAGGTTGGACTTGAAATGCGTTGGTCTGAATTTTTTTTCTTTACTCGGCACGGGGGTTTGGGGTGGGTACGTACTGCAACAAAGTGTTATCGCCGGATTTCCAAATCCAGTGAATCGAAACCCACAATCTTTAAGTTTTTGTTATTGAATCTAAAGATTCGGTGGTATCGTGCAATGAGTTTTAATGAACCCACCAAATCTAAATAAAGCAATTTTAGAAAAGTGATTGGGAAAATAATTATGATTACATACATGTACGTGCGCAGGGCTGGAGTCAGTTTAAGGAAATGACGGTGACGAAGCCTCACCTCGATTACTGTACCTCACGCAGTGTTCCTTAATCAATGAAAAGGTTTTTCACAGAGTCATTATGGAAACATTTGGAACAAAGAGGCAACTCATCAAAAACGCCGTGCCACGACGTGTTGAGGTCGCAACCGAATTAAGGCATGGCCTATGGTGGCCGATCACTGCCGTTCGCTTTTCTCTCATAACCTATTCACAACGTAAATTGGTTTTCATTGTAAAAAGATTTGTAAATTCATTTTGTTTTTCAATGTAAAGTAATTTATAAATGCATTGAAAAATGCAAATTCTTTCGAAACTAAAGTTGTTTTAAATGCATCGGTAAATGCATTTTTTCCTTCAATGTAAAGTAATTTATAAATGTATTGACAAATGCAAATTCTTTTCGAAACTAAAGTTGTTTTTAAATGCATTGGTAAATTCATTTTTTTTCTTCAATGTAAAGTAATTCAAAAATGCACTGACAAATGCAAATTCTTTTCGAAACTAAAGTTCTTTTTAAATGCATTTGCAAATGCAATTTCCAAATGAAATGTCTAAGTCAAAAGTTATCGCTGCCACAGTATCCCACAGTGCTTTGCGACTTTTTTATTAGACTGGCTACGAGAAGGAAGCCTTCATTGCACACGGTATAGTAGACAGCATTGCTGTACATAATGTACTAGCTCGAGGGGGGCTTGTTACAAGTCTAGCATAGACTGCCATGGCGCGGCTGGCGCGATGGAGGAAGCTCAATGATGCTGGGCACCTACGAGACCCGATAATTCTATCCTCTTTTGGCGGATTATTTCATCAAGGGACCAGTCCAATACAAAGTCACAGAATCAAAGAAAAAATGCATTTACCGATGCATTTAAAAACAGCTTTAGTTTCGAAAAGAATTTGCATTTGTCAATACATTTATAAATTACTTTACATCGAAGAAAAAAATGGATTTATAAATGCATTTACAAATTACTTTACATTGAAAAAAAAAATCAACAAACCCTTTTACATTGAAAAACAATTTACATTGTAAATAGGTTATGAGAGAAAAGCGAACGGCAGTGATAGGCCACCACACTGGCCTACGTGCCGTTGAGTTTGCGTTGAATCCCGCGCAATAAAGTGGGCGTCACACATTTGCGTTCGTTTTCGCTTTCGCGTGAAATTTGAACCGCTTGACGTGTGCGAGAGCGAACAGATCAAAATTGTCGTGCTCTACATTGGCAAAAGTTGAGCTCATCATTCCATTCGAGCCAAATTTGCTGCAAAAGTTTTCTGGTGTCAAAGTCGCTTCCCTTTCGCGTTTGCCTGAGGTGTGAATCTGCATCAAAGCAGGAAATAAACCCACACGTTGGAGTGCACACGAAGCGGCGGCGACTTTCATAGACCAGTTAGCCCCGACGTAATTCGGACACGGCCTAAATCCTGTGATAGCGAGTCGCATATTAGAATCCCTTTCTGTCTCACATCAACCACATCTCTGACATTATGCATTAGTCACTTATCAGCAAACAACTATCGGGGTGCACACTCCGTGCCGAGACTTGACGAGCCAAATGTTTGAATTTGAAACTATAATTCCAACGACACGGTATATATGTACACTTCACAATAACATTCAAGCCAATTTTTAGTAAAGCTAAGTGAGCCCCAACGAATGCGTTCATGGAATCTCCCTGCTTGTTTGGGCAGATAGTTTTGAAAGGAGTTTCCCTTGGTTCACATAATTCTGCATAAAACTGCACGCCCCGAACCGCCACATTACAAAAACAAGAAATCAAGTCTAGTGCCCGTTATACCAAGTACAGGGTGAATGGCATGCCCAGTCAGAATGCAAGCACGTACCGCCAGAGAAGTTCCTAATCCTTGCAGAGCTTACGGCTTAATATATAGGCACGAGGAAAAAGGCCAGAAATGCATGTTTGTTTTGACGAACAAGTAATGTTCCTGTCCTTTGTAACTGACGTGATGTGAACTTGAAAGAACCAGCCTTCATAGCGACTGTGCTTTATTGTCTGTAAAACCTGACAAATTTTCCTACGTTGGCCCACTATAATGAAAATCCTTGGAAACCGTCTACCAATTAATGTATTGTATAAACCGGGTATTTCTCGTTACGAAGTCAAACATTACCTTGTGTTCAGCACTATTTCTTAAAATACGGCGAGAATTAAGAGAGATACAAACACAGATCCAGACGCTATCAGATGGGGGGGGCATTTACAATAAAATGTATTAAGAGCCGAGCCCACGAGCAGTGGTATCGAGCCCACGCGCGATGGGCGAAGACTATGCATAATTTCCTTTTCCCCATGTTCTCTCTTCGTTTGTAAATGCCAACATGTTGTGGCTTTATCAGAAGCACACTTGCATTATCGGCAGCTACCGGTAAATACCCGCTACGTTGAGATATCTTTTCAAATAATGAGAGACACCTGCACGGTGACTTATCGAACAAAAGCTGAAAGCAAAGGCAGGGTTGGTCCTGTATAAAGTCCTCAATCCTTCACCTGCTGGAAGACTGAGGACCGTTACAGACGATCATGCTGGACTTACGACGTGTTGTGATGGTACTGAGTGCATAGTTTTGCGATGGTAATCTACCTATGAAGACAAACTAGTCAAACATGCAGCGTTGGTACGTGCGCTTGCACGTGGTGGAAGCTACCCTTAGGAATATATGCGATCACCGTGGCCAAGGCGGGCCACACTTGGACACATTTTTTACATTGAGCGCAATCCAGTCACGTGGGTGAAAAAGGTCTATAGGGATAATGCCTTTTCCTGAAAAGCACCCTGACCATCTTCGCAGTAAACTCCACACTTGTCCAAAGCAGTTGGTTATAGCAATCTTCACCGAAATTTAAATATTCTCTTTTATCATTTCATTAGGTGTGACTCTGCCCTATATATCCAGCGTCCTTGCACACGCCAGGTGGACCGTTGAGTAGGCAATGATTTCTCCTGATTTCAATAAAAAGATACCCGGGTATTACCTCCATTTCAATATCACTCCAAATCTACAACGCACCAAGGTGTGGAGGACAGTGACAACCTGCCATTTTCACATCACAATGTCATCAAGAGCTGGAATTGTAATGAACTCAAGGAAACCGAACGTGCGAGAGTTTGTAAACAGTGTCACTTTTGACACTACGATCAAAGCTTAAAATAATATAGCTAATATGCCTCAAAGGAAGTGGGGGGCAGGGTAGCTTTATATTCCAGCGACAACAGTGATATCCATTTACAGCGAGTGCGGACACCGGTTACCCGAAGGAGTGAAAGCACGGGTGCTTATAACAGGAACCCATGCAGGCCATTCCAGAAAATCTGGACAGAAAGGAAGGGCAACAGAGAAAAAAGTCAATTCCAGTCAACCCAAAATGCTCAGCCACCACCAATATAAGCTGTAGCTGCATGTCCACGTTGTCCAC